CACTGTTTTAAAGAGTTCCTGTGCATGTGAGGTAATTTCGCCTTTGAGAATCCCAGAACTGGTATTGTTTTTAAGTCTGCACAGAACTCAGAGTCAAGGTGTCACAATATTGTGAGTCTTACCATCTGTTTAGAAGCTCAGTTTCCGACAGAAAGTCAGCTCAAAGCTACCTACTGAATAAAATAATGGTTCTCCTCAGAGCTGTGGAATTTCCCCCTTTGTTTACAGAGCCTTCTATTTATCCATTTTAATTAAGAGAGAAGAAAATTAGATTGTTGATATCTCTGCAGTCAACAAATAATAAATATTGGATGAGAGAACAGATGGGGGAAAATCATTGCAGTTTCCACTTTCATATCAAATAATTGAATTGTAGGGCTTTATTGTTGGAAATGATAATTCACCTAATCAGATTGCTTTCTCCTAGAAGAAATTATTTTCCCGACTATTTATTCTTTAAGAGTGATAGCAGCCATGTTCTGAATGTTTGCTGTGTGCCAAGTACTGTTCTAAGTACTTTGCAAGAATCATTTCAGGCAGTTCTTCTGTAGCACCAATGTTGTAAGGGAACCTTCTAGAACAGAATTCATATTTTAAACGGCTTTCTGTCTGACTCTCTGTTTCATAGGAACCATATGAAGGGTGGATCTGTGTTTATTGTGCCTTCCTGCAGCTGTTCCATCATTAGATATGGTGCCATCAGGATGTCCCCTGGGAGCGTCTTACAGGCTCACTGCCCAGTGCTGCACACCTTGTCACCAGTTCCCATGGAGACCTACTTTGAGAGATGATACATGTTACCAAAGAGCTTCTATTTAATGCTTCAAGCATGAAAGGGGAGACAGGTAGTCTCAGGTTTAAGATGGTGCTGGCTTTTTGTGCAGTCTTCCCTGGAGGCATCATGACCTTCAAACACTGAATGACAGAGTTTGAGACTGACTCCGCTCCCCTTTCTGTTCTTGCTGACATTGTCCCAGGAAGGTTTATTATTGTAAAGGGTTTTGTTCATTTTCTACAATGTTCCCTAGATATCCATTTTAAAGTAGCCAAAATGGGATTATTCGCAGTTAGAGGAGTCTGGGGTAGCATCAAACAATGAGGCCCACATAAAATCTCCTTATTGGGTTTGGCTGCCACCTCCCCCTTCAACTACCCAGGGAAAACCGCTGGTGCAGAAGAGCTGGGCTTGAGAGCCCATAGTCACTATAGCACCTGCATTTCATTTTTTCAATATTTTGAAATTAAAGTTATTTATATCGTTCCTCCCTCCCTTTCCTTCCTTCAACATTCCACATGTTCCCCGAAAATACATGACCTCTTTTTCTTTGTTGGTGCATATATGAGTGTGTGCATCAACATGACTTGCTCAGTCCACTGAGTGTTCCTTATGTATTTTTGATTTCTTGGATGACCGTTTGATGTTGGAAAACAATCAGGGACTCACCCCTGGAGGAGACTACTTACTACTCCTGCTCTCAGCTTTACTTAATTGCCTGCACTTCTTTGTTTATGGGTGGGGCCCCATGAGATTCTCTTTTGTGTTACAAGTAGCCATCGGTCAGTGCTTTGGGATCATCTGGTTTTGCCTCTCCTTTTAAATGCAATACAGTCTGGGTGAAGGAGCTCTAGACTTTTCATGATTACCTTCATACCTAAAGACCCTGGGAAATCTTCAGATGATGGGAGAGACTGCCTGAGAAAGCTGGAAACTGGAGCTTGCAAGTCCTGACTCTGATGCCTGTTCTTCCCATCCCAATATCTGAGGACCAGTGTGACATCCATCCCTTGGGAAACTAGCGAGAGGAGTGTGTGTGTGTGTGTGTGTGTGTGTGTGTGTGTGTGTGTGGTCAGGATTTCTCTTTACAGTTCTTACAGGCTGTCCTGCTGCTCACTATATAGCCCTGACTGGCCTTAAAGACTGGGGTCCTCCTGTCTCTGTCTTCTGGAGTATTAGGAGTAAGGTGTTTTCCTCTAAGGTTTATTTATTTGTTTGTTTTAAATATCAGAGATGACAAGGTCCTAAAGATCTAGTCACTAGTGTAGTTTTGTGTAACCATAGGCCTTGTATAGGACGCCAGCAGATAGCAAACCATGTTAAGCCTTTATATCAAAAATCACTTGGAGTCTTTCTGGCTTATACAGCTGTAGCCTGTTCTCCTTCCAGTATTTCCTAGGGACACTTTTCAGTCACTTTAGGAGGCAAGAGTGGGTCATCACAAGGTCAAAGCTGGCATGCCACAACTCTAGGAAAAGTTGAAAACTCATTTCCCTGACCTCAATGGCCTCTTGCTTGGGGCCAAGCCTAATTCAAGCATTGTATCTCCTGTTGGAACAGTGTGTTCTTCTGCAGTGTCTCTAGCCAACTTGCAAGCTGTTGCCCATTGAGCCAAAATGAAATTTCCTTGGCAAGAGAACAAAAACAATTCCTTCTGAGGTGTTATGACAGCTTGCTCCTGAGGCACCTCTCATATCCATCCCAGGGCTCTAGACCCCTTCACTTCCCTGAAGCAGGAACTGGTCCCCACAAAGAGTGAAGTTTTCTGTTGGCATAGCTTAAAGCACAGCCTCTTCTCCTAGACCACTCCTGCCCTAGCAACAGCATCCTTAGACATCACCCTTGGACCTTATACAACACAGCTAATTGTTTGCACTGGACACTAGTGTGTTTAGAGCTTGGGCATCCAAATAGACAATTATTTTTTGCTATTTGCTAGCGGCGCTGCCTGCCTGGTGACTTTGGCAGATGGAGAAAAGAGCTAATCCGTAGGTTACAAGCAGAAGGGTTATTGATGAAATGTCACCATCTGTTGGTGTCATTAAAATGATATGAGTCATAAAGAGTTGCTTTTGTCTTTTCTCAAAAAAGGGTAGTTTGGCGTTTAGAGAGAAGTCACTAAATTGTTGATGATGGTAGGAGACAGAGTGGGGAGGGGAGGGGAGGTTACTCAGGCAGAAAGAGGAGCTTGGCAAATTCATCTGATGGGCTGATTGGTCTTCGGGGAAACCAGTCCGGCTGGATTAAACCCCCTACTTGGTATGAGACTGGTACTGGTGCTGATTGCTTGAATACCTATCAGGTGTGGAAGGAAAAGTCATTCATTTGGTTACATGAGGAAGACATCATTGGAAGAAAGTGTAATATGCCCCAGCCTTCTTAGTCTTCATTGCCCCATGATGCACAGATTATCATTCTTGTATTGATGGCAACCTAGGTGTGTGAGCTCATAGGGGATGGTTTTCACTGTGGGTTACCTCTCCTCCAAGGGTGACATGACTAGAATCAGGGACAGAGCCCCCAGGAAAGAGCAAAGACAACGGTATACAGAACAGCTTCTGTGTCACATTAGCAAAGGGGTTGGAGTGGGGTGATGTGTGTGTTTGATGAGGGTTTGGTGTAACCAAAATATACCACCAACTTCTTTACCTAATCCCTATAATTCTCTTGCATTTGTACTTTGAGGATTCTTACCCACTGCCACAAATGTATTATTTCCAGTCTTTTTCAATATGGCTTTCAACCCCTTGGGTTTTTGTTTTGTTTTGTTTTGTTTTGTTGGTTTTGTTTTGTATCCTGAAGAAGGGTGAAGGGTGTGGATGATTTTGTAAACAATTACAGGCCCTTAGTCCATCCCTATTGAGTGACAGTAAAGAAAGTAACAGTAGTATTACTGTGAATCTATACATACCCAGCTGTGACCTCTAGTTCAATATTCCCTCCCTTAAGACCTGTGGCCCAAACCCTCCCCACCTGCCACTCCTTAGGGACACAGTCATTGAAGAGTTGTTGCTGCTACTTAGAAGAGGCTGTGGGAGCAATGCTGCAAGCCTGCAAGAAGCTCTCTGTGGTTTCTATAGGAAATGTCACAGCAAAGGTGCCTGTTGATATTTTTAGATTTGGTGCTCTGTGCTGCTGCTGCTGCTGCTGCTACTGCTGCTGCTGCTGCTGCATGTCTAAACAAGCAGGGTGGGCAGTGATGGTTGGTGTCAGCAGTGCTATGGGGGTGACTCTATGCTCCATTTCATGACCAGTGCTCATCCTGCTGGGCAGATCCACATTTTGTCTCTTCTTCCTCTGGGACTTTGAGAGCAGCTGACTGCAGCAGAGGCCAGCAAAATGCAGACAGTAGGCTGCCATATGTGAGGCCCCTAAGAAGCCGGGCAGGGTGGGTGCTATATACTAGGCTTTGGCCCTGCTCATCTGAGTCCTGAGGTGTGTGTTTGTATACTGTGCCTTTGGTGACAAGCAAAATGGTTTAGAATTCACCCAGTTGGTTAAGTGAGTTAGGAACATCCATGCAAACATTTCGGAGTTTATTCTTGGGTGAGGAGAGCTAGGGCATCCCTGGATTGTCATTAAACTGTTTCTGTAGTAAGCTTTGTACCTGGTGAATAGCAGTTGCAGGGAAGGAGAGGAGAGAATGGAGGAGGAAGAGAGGGGTTTTAATTTTTTCCCCTGTGTTCTTCCTCCCAAGGAGTCAAGGAGTCCAAGTCACTTAACACAGCCCTAGGGAAAAGGAGATGAGGTCATAGGTCAATATGTCAGCAGATACTGTTAATCACAAATTGTTCATGAAAGAAGATTTTTTCTGAAAGGATAAGGTGAATTATCTCAAAGTACATCATGTGTGTATGGAAATATCATAATGCAACTCGTTACTTTGAACAGTTGAATAACTGTTGGATCCAAAAAAAAGTCATGAGTAGTAACCACAGTCAATGTTAAATGATCAGTTGATAAACCTGAAAAACCCATAAGATACCCAAAGAATGAAAAGAAAGTTCTACAGTGCTCTGGTGGAGTGGTGAACTGTTTGTTCCTGAGCCTGGGTCTGTGACATATGGGGTGCTTCTAGAGAAAGAATGCTGTGAAAGCAGCTTGGGTGGCCTGGGAAGCCCCAGTGAGGCCTGGATGACCCTCACTTGCTCTGCAGTCTTGCTGTCTGAAATCCCCAGCACTCCCCAAGGGTCTGCCTGTTTACAGCTGTCCTCTCATTCTGCAGCCAGCCACAGAGACTGCTGAGGAAGAGGATGACCAACCCCTCAGCCTGTCCTGGCCATCCAACGCCCGCAAGCAGGTCACATTCCTGATCGTTCTTCCCATCGTGTTCCCTCTCTGGATCACTTTACCTGATGTCCGAAAACCTGTGAGTGAACCTCTGTTTAAACAGCTCCCTTGGGGAAAATAAAACAAGTATGGTAGCCACCATTGTCTATTTCCAGTTGTGTTGTGTTAAAAGATGAGGTGATGCCAGCGTGTCTCTTGTCATACATGGCTGAAACTTCAGTCACAATGATTGTTCAGTGGCTAGCCATCGTGAATCACCCAAGAAGTTAGGTGTGTAAAACAACCACCATTTTATTCTGCTAACAAATCCTGTGGGATGGGAATTAAAGTAGGGTGCACTGGGGATGGTTTATCTCTACTCCACCATGCCTAGAACTCCATCTGGGAAGACTTGCATGGTTAGAGGTGACTTCCAACTGAGAACTGCATTCATCTTCTTTGCCAATTTTTTTTCCGAACCTGAGCAGAGATGGAGTGAAGGCTGGTTGTCTATGAGAGTAGCCAAACATGGCCTGTCTCTGCACTTTGGTTCCTCACAGCATAATGGCCCCAGAATAGCCCAATGCCCTCCAAGAGTGAGCATTCTAACAGCAGAAGGCAGAAGTTGCATGGTCTTTGGTTCACTTGTCTCTGAAGCTATGTAGTGACAATTCAGTTATACTCTATTGGCCAAAACACCTGCTGTAATTAAAAGAACATAGTGGCAGCCGGGTGGTGGTGCATGCCTTTAATGCCAGCACTTGGGAGGCAGAGGTAGGTGGATCTCTGAGTTTGAGGCTAGCCTCAGCTACACCTCTTTGGAAGTGCCCTCAAACACAAGCCCAAAGGTATCTCTCCTGTGTGATTCCAAATCCAGTCAAGACAGTGAAGATTGGCCATCACCTTCCCTGCTTCCCCAAACACCAGTCGTAATATGAAATGGATTATTTTCTATCTCTTTCTGGGTTTTCTGTGTGCTACTCCAAGCAATGAGAATACCAAGGGAATATGTGGCTATCTTTGGTTTTCTTCAGCAAATATTCAGCACTAAGGACAACATAGGCTCTTAAAGGGTTTAATAAAACAAAATTCATAGTCTCTATATTTAAGTTTAATAACTAAACCAAGGCATACTTCCTGTGCTTCATAGTTAATGTCAACCTGACACAAGCTAAAGTCACCTGAGAGAAGGGAACCTTGGTTAAGAAAATGCTTTCCTAAGATGGGGCTGTAGGCAAACCTGAAGGGCATTTTCTTAATTAGTGATTGATGGGGGAAGGTTCAATCCATTGTGGGTGGTGCCATCCCTGGTCTGGTGGTCCTGGGTTTTATAAGAAAGCAGGCTGATCAAGCAGTGAGGAATAAGCCAATGAATAGTATCCCTCTATGGCCTCTGTATCAGCTCCTGCCTCCAGGTTCCTGCCCTGTTTGAGTTCTGCCATGACTTCCTTCAATGATGAACAGTGATGGAAGTGTAAGCCAAATGAACCCTTTCCTTCCCAAGTTGCTTCTGGTCATGGTGTTTCATCACAGCAATAGTAATCTTAACCAATTCACTTACATATAACTGAAAGCAAGATTTCACAGAAGCAGTTAATGGAGACAAGCCTAAGGCTCCTGGTTCTAGATCATTTTCATTCCACTACCCTGACTCTGGTAGTTTTCTCTCCCTATCTTACCTAGTAAGCTGAGCAACTTTGGGAAATATACTTCTCTGAACTCCATTTTTATCCACTATTGATAAAGATTTCTAAGATCTCTAGATTCCTTACCAGCTATGGCATTCTGTTAAGTACAGCATAAAGAGATCTTCCTCAATATGATATTGCAAATCAAAGGTGACTGTATACCCCAACTCGCCTGTGATAGTCTCAGTTTACTCTGGGAGCATACTGGTTGAAAGATAAACTGTGTGGCCCTCTCTGCACATACAAGAGGCCAAATGAAAGAAACCATGCCAGTAGATACAAGAGACATTAAGATATTCCCTGATCATATCTATTAGAGGAGAGTTTTATTAGATTGTTTCTTATGTCAGTTTTCTTTTTGCTCTGTAACACACCATCTCAAACTCAGCTTAAGACAAGCTAATTTCAGCCCATGATTCTGAGGATTGACAGTTTGTGCTAGGCTCAGCCCGACAGTTCTCCTGGGAGCAGATTGCCATAGGAGCATCTCAGTGAAACAGTCTGCCTGCGTTCAACATGGTCTCTAATCTTTAAGCAGTCAGATCTGAACTTAGTCACGGGATAGTAAAAGACAAGAGCTATAAGAATGAAAACTAAGAAATGCTCTTGAGATCTATTGATTGAAGCCAGTCATAAAGCCAGCCGACACCTAAGGGTAGAGAAATAGAGCTCACCTATTGATGGAAGAGGCAGAATAATGTACTGTTTTTTAAGTCCTGTCTGCAAAGGCCACTGGAGGTACTATCAAGGGAGAGGGAAAAGAATAGGAAAATTAGCAAACAGACATTTGCTCCTCCTTAGGGCCCACCAGCTATCTCTACAGTAGTTTTTTTTTTTTTAATTCTTTATGGAGATAAACATCCCAAACCTTACCAGTAATTACATGGAATGCATGATTGTATAGTTCTAATTTCAGAATAAATATTACTCCCACTTGTTTTTATTCCTTCCTACATCATTTCTATGCAAATTTTATGGTGCTGTTTATTGGATCACACATACTTCCAGCTCAGATATTAAATAGGAGCTTCACACTTATAGTTTTCTTAAATTAACAACTTTGTTTGAAAACAGAAAGGGCTAAGGTGTAAATCTTGATGCAAAACATACCTTTGATGAAAAGTGAAAATAAGAAACAGTAAGACACTCAATGTTATTTTCTCTCGTGTCCTGAGATGGATGTTCATACAAAGGAGGAGTGTATCTCTTAAGATAGGAAAATATGATCCATTAGAACTGGAAAGGAACCTGAATACCCAGCTAGTAATTTGCATTTTTGGTCATTTATTTATTCACCAAGTTTTTATTGATGATCTAGCAGGAGCCGCACATGATGTAGCAAGAATTAAAGTGACTGAGACCCAGGGAGGTTTAGTGGTTTGTTCAGTCACAGCTAGCTACTAAGAGGAAAGCCAAGCCTCCTCCATACCCAACATCCACAATCACTTTGCCTCCCCAGGTATCAGCCTGGTCGTCTCTTAAATCTTGGGATGGATCTGGGGACAGTATAAACAAGTTGTGTCACAAAATAAAAGGGCATTAAATAAACTGAGACAATTGACTGAACTCAAAAAACCAAAAACCAAAACAAAATCTTTTACTGCTCAACAGAGTACCTAAGTTCTGATCCTATTAGCCTCATAAGGAGACTGACAACTTTAAGTTACTATAGATCTTTAGGAATTCAACACTTGTGGCTTCCATGGGCACATGCTCCCATACACACCCTCACATGAATGATTAAAATAAAACAAAATTTTGAAAGAAAAAATGCATAAAAATATAGCTACAAATCCCCCCAAATAAGGCAATGTCATTACAGGTAATTGCAAAAATGTTAATCATTTTGTTTGTTTTCTATTTGTAGGTATAGCAGATCATTCTCCACGTATCTTGGCAAAGTCCTTGAATTTACCATGTTTGATTTTTCTGTTTGTCAATGTCCCCTCTTCAATGATATCTTCTCCCCATCTTCCCCCTTCTTCTCTCTTTCCCCTTCCCTCTTTACCTCATTCCCACATATGCATATGTTCCTAACGAGAATTTAATGATTTATATTGCTTCCAATAAACTAAATCAGAAAAAAAAACTGCAATGAGGACAACAATGACAACAATGCACAGTGACAACAATGATTGCTACCAGAGCCCTTGTTATGGCTTGGGTGCTTTGCTAGACTTTCTGTGGACAGGACTCTTCAGAACATTTAAATTTGTATTGCCACTCCCCTCTGTCTTACAAATGAAGAAACCAAAACTTACAGAGGTTAAATAGTTTTCTAAGTGAAAATCCCAGTGTGCACTTGGGAGCAGAGATTTCAACCCCCATTATCGTAACCCAGCGGCCATACTTTGAGTCTTATTAGGGTTGTTGTGGAAAACTTCTTAAAGTGTGTATACTTCAAAGGACAGCAAGATAGCTCAGCAGGTAAAGGCAATTGATAACAAGACTTATAGCCTAAATTTGATTCCCAGGACCCACATGGTGGAAGGAGATAACCAACTCCCACAAGTTGTTTTCAGACCTTCATCTGTATATGCATAAACATGAACCTACCCGAATGAATGAATGAACGAATGAACAGATAGATAAATATATAAGTTTAAAATACTTCAAGCCAGGTTTAATGGTAAGTTCATGTGATCACAGCTACTCAGAAGACCAAGGTAGGACAATTATAAATTTGAAACCAGCCTGGGCTACATAGCAAGACTCCCATCCCTTCCACCAAAAGCATATTCTTCAGACCATTGCACAAAGTAGATGCTCAATGACTATTAAATTTAGAACAGCAAGGACATGGCCAGTTTGCTCAGCCGGCTATTGTCCAGTGACTTTTTTCAAGCCAATATCATGCTGCTCTACTAAAAGCTTCTAATGGGAACATTAGCTGTCAATTAGCTACCTAACCATTACATTAGAAACAAAATGGACAGCACATGGTCACAATTTGCTCATTTGCTAATTGGTATGAGGCCTATCCTACCAGATGTCAGGATGAGCCACCGTTACTGATCATAACCTGATGTGTTAGACCTTGACTTCCAGGGTTATTTTCTCTCTTCCAATGAGACTGGTAACCTAATACCTGTAAAGATGCTCCCGGGCAGTGATGTCCAGAGTGAAACCATGGAGTCCAAATAAGGAGAATGGTCTAGACAGAAATTAGAGAAGTGATTTCCTGGATTGTGAGACTGGGCATGGTAAGGCAGTTTGACAGAGAAACAATTAGCCAAACTGCTGGTGCATGAAGGGTTGCAACTTCCAAAGCAAGAACAATATGGGAGGCTGGGGAGGCAGATGGCCATACAGCTGGAGCACTGGCCTCTGATTCCTGATGCTTTTTTTATTTTCTGATGTTGTGCATAGAGCCTGGCATGGTGATGGTGGTACTCACTCTGCCTGTGGCCGGATGCATTTTGGCCAGTTTGGACCCTGTTTTCTTCCAGGAAGCATTGGTAAAATATGCGTGTTAGGTATAAGTACTGTGTAGTCAGCAGACCTGAATTTCATCTCTAGTTGAAGAGTAGGGTATAGAGTAGGTATCCAGTCTTTACCTGCTCCTAGTCAATAGTGAAGAGTTGAAATTCAGAAGAATATTTGTTTTTAGTATTTTTTGACTAAGCCTCTAATTCAACATTTGTCTTTTTGATGCCTATTAATTATTAATTGTTATCTTCAGAATCATAAGTATCAAATATCGAATTGGGCAGATTTTCACTAATGGATTGATTTGCATTTGGTTCTTTACATCCTTAGTCTTATCCCTTTGTCCATTTGACTGGGAATGTTCTACAGTTCAGTGATATAAGGAAATCTTAATATTTCAATTCTGACTGAGGATGTCTTCTCAATGAACAGGGGATTTAAAAATATATTAAATGGGGCTGGAGAGATGGCTCAGAGGTTAAGAGCACTGACTGCTCTTCCAGAGGTCCTGAGTTCAATGCCCAGCAACCACATGGTGGCTCACAACCATCTGTTATGAGATCTGGTGCCCTCTTCTGGTGTGCAGATATACATGGAAGCAGAATGTTTTATACATGATAAATAAATATTTTAAAAAATATATTAAATGAAAAATAAACAGTAAGAATATAGTTAGTAAGCAAATGAACCTGGAAATAGAATAGCCTTCGAAGACGTTCCAGGACATGAGGTATGGACGTTCACCATAAAGTAGATAACAGTTCTCTGTGATTCTCATACCACACTGAGAACTAGTCTAGTTGATGCTGGATTCTGGGGTGGCCTTGTGTGGCAAGAGTTGCCCTTTTCTTCCTATGACAGAGAATGACCCTGGGAGACTGAAACCTCCATCCCACTTAGAATTCAGAGACAGTGAGTCACAATCAGAAGGAAAAAGCTGGGAGGTCCAGTCAGTTCAGTCCCTGCCTTGGCAAGCCTGGTGTCTACTCTGGCTGAGAGAATCTTAGCTCAAGAACTCAGTTCACAGCCTTCAAGAAATCTGCCTCGAGAAGTGAAGGTATAGACTCCACTCTGAAAAAAAAGTGTTTTCCCATCACTCATTGAAGTGTTCAGGTATCCAGAACAGACCAGAGTCCTTATACTTTTCTTCTAAGAAAGAGAAGGAGCATAGGGAAGTAATTAGAGGTGAAATTTGGCCTGCTCACTGTGACAGGGTGCCCTCTCCCAATTGCGCATGCCCTTTTGGTCTTACTGTCACCCCAGAGAATACCTCCTCTTGAAGCAACAGTCATTTCGAGGGAGAAAAGATTCTTGTAGAGTCTGGGGGTTTAGTGAATGATAACAAAAAGACTTACTCTAATCCTGGAATTTACAAGGAGATTGCAAACCTGGTCTGGAACCATAGAGCATGTCTTCATTGTGCTCCACATTTAAAAGATTGCCACACATGAGTCTATTTTTTCTTCCAATGAGCCTTCAAATGCATGGCAGAATGGACTCTCTGTGACTTCCCCAGACCAGCTCCTCAGACAGCAGAGACAGCTGCTGTCCACATCAACCCCAGGAGCCGTTGCCCTGAACAAAACTGGATGACATTATCAAAGCACAGTGTATGGTTTTCTCAGCATAGAAAAGCTTTGAAATTAAAAGTATTGGCAAAAATAAGTGGTGGGCTCTCAAAAAGCATTCTGTTATCTCAGTATGTCCCATGTTTTCCATCAAGGCAGAAACTAGTTCAGTGCAAGCCACAATTTCCCTGGAATGGATCGAGTAAGAAATACTGCATTTATTATTTATTTGTCTGTTTGTTCATTCATTCACCCGTTCATTTATTTGGTCTGTGTGATCAAAGAGAACTTGCAGGAGTTGGTTCTTTCCTTTCACTACATGGGTTCTAGGGATGGGACATGGGTTGTCTGGCTAGGCAGCAGGCACCTTTACCCACTGGGCTATCTTATTGACCCTGAAAAACTACATTTCTAAGTGTCTGAGTTTTGATTGATGTTCTAAGGGAACTTTGAGTGTGCTCACACTGTCCAAGCCCAATATGCCACGAAGTCCAGTGCTGTAAGCAGAATGGGACTTGTAATATCGATAGGAGTGGCACACTGGAGAGAACACGTTCCCAAGAACGATATCTGACCTGCCCTTCCCTAGTAGGGATCACCCTTATTGGACATCTCCACCTGTGTCTACTTCAGCTCATGGGTATGGTTAGTGTTCTGGAGATTAGCTATCACCAGCCATCTGTGGTGTTGCCTTTCCTGGTAATTCATGTGACTCTAAGATGACTTAATCCATTCCCAACCTTCCTAATCCTTCCAATTTTTTGTTTCATGTAAGAGGTTTAGCATATAAGTTATCATGACACATGGTTTGCCAGCAGTAGATTCTGATGGCCTGACTCTGGTGAAGTTGGAAGCAAACTAAAGAAAAGGGAAAAGATGGAGGGAAGATGCAAGATGTTTAGCAGAAGGAATGACAGAAGAATCCAGAGCTTATAAAGGGTGGAAGCAGAGGGCATTGGGCATCTAGCTACAGACATAAACAGACACTCTCTCAAGAAGTGACTTCCAGATCCCAACACAGTGCACATGTTGCAACAGTCAGAAGGCTGGAGCAGAAAGATGGGATTTGAAGACAACCTGGGCTACATAATGATTTGTGGGCCATCTAGGCTATCCTGGGCTATGAGACCCTGTCTCAAAGAGAGAAGTGGGAAAGGGGGGGAAAGAGGGATGAAGGAAGTGATAGAAAAAGGTAGCTTTCTTTCCCAATTCTACAACCATTCAGCTCCCACAATTTCAATTTCCAAGAATGAATTTTCCTCTCCCAGTTTGATTAGGGGCAGGTAGCATCTTTTGATTGCTAATCCAATGAAGAAGTAAGAAATGTGGGAGAAATCACGGCAATGGCAAAGGTGGCTTTAGCCTTGGACTGTCACTCCACCACAGAGGACAATACTGACATTCTCCCTTCTGGTTGTCTTGCAGGCTTCCAGGAAGTTCTTCCCTATCACTTTCTTTGGCTCCATCACTTGGATTGCAGTTTTCTCTTACCTGATGGTGTGGTGGGCACACCAGGTAAGACTGTTGGTGGCACTCATCCTCCTGGTTTGTCTCTAGTCTTGGTTGTCAAGTGGTCATTCAATGTGTTTGCCTTTTGAAACTATCACCATACTGAGTGTGTATAGACTGGATTTTCCTAGTCCCCTATCTTGGTGGTCAGAAATCAAATCAGCATAGCTGTTAAACAACTATGTGGAGGAAGGCAAGCGTGGCTGTTTCTTATTGTCTGTCACCTAAGACCTGGCCAACCAGGGCTGGGAAGAAAGTTAGGATTCTGCCTACCTCATAGCTTTATTTTGTCTTGGACAAGAAACTGAGCATGGCTGTCCCCAGCTCTGTGTGTGTAGTGTGGTGTGGTGTGTGTGTGTGTGTGTGTGTGTGTGTGTGTGTGTGTGTGTTATGATACACACATGTGTGAGTCCATATGATAGGTATAGGAAGTCTTCCATGTTTTCCTTTATTGTTCCCTACCTTATATGACCTTGAGACAGGGTCTCTCACTAAACCTATATATTGACATTTCTCAGCTAGGCTGGCAGGCAGGAAGCTCCAGTGTTCTTCCTGTCTCTACCCCAAAGCCCCATGCTGGGATTACAGGTCTTTTCACATGGATGCCTGGGATATGAACTCAGGTACTCATGATTGTACAGTAATTGCTCTTACCCACTGAGCCACCTCCCCAACCCTCACCAGCCTTTTAACAATGGTTATTAAGAAAGGCCCTGAAGACAAAATATTCATCCTTGAGCTTCAATTTGTAAATGTAATGATGTGCATCATTTTTGTCGCTTTTAAATCATTACCAGTCATAATGCTGATCCCAAGATACAATCTCAGAAATTGCTGCTTAAAAACTTGAATAAGTGAGATTGGAGGACTTCCATTCTCAAAGATGAGAGTGGAAACCATTATTTGTTGAGTGTTTACTCCATGCTGGACAGTTCACATCTCTTTGTTTTTTATCTTGTTTTTAATCCTGCACACAGATTCAGATGCTTTGAGGGGAAAACAATCCTTGTCTACACCATGGAGATTAATAAATTGAGTTTATAGTTGATAAGAAAAATGACCAAACATCCAGGCTTAGTGGCACATGTGTGGAATCCTAGCACTTGAGAGGTAGAGGCAAGAGAATTGGGAACTCAAACCTAGCCTCCTCAGAGACTTGGAAAGTATCTTGGGCTGTAGGTGACTAACCCATACTAACCACACAATCATGCTTCTCTTCAGTTTTGGACGTGTCTGTCAGGAGTGGCATTCAAACTCCATATATCAATGGTGTGGTTTTAAATGCTCACTGTGATAGCATTCCCTCTAAGAATTTCAATTATTAAGAATGTAGTAAATCAATTGCAGCTTCCTTAGGGTGAAAATCATTTAGTCAGCACAAAGGAGACCATTTTGCTCAAGCAAGGCACTCCTGTTGCCCAGGGAAATCATCAGTGTGAGTGGATCTACTCATTTGCCCAGCGAGTAGGCGCTTAGAGCCTACAGCAGGCGGCTTCTTAACCTGTTTCCTCTCATGAGGAAATGTTTTACACAACCCCAGAGGTATGCCCTATAAGACAAACACACAAGTCAAACATTTACTCATGATAAATCATAAATCTTAAAACAATTCTTTGGTGTGTGTATAACTTAACCATTTGTTAAAGATTGAATACATTTGCATACTACTCAGAGGGACTTGCTTGTTTGTTGTTGCATGAAGAACTAATTCTCAGAAGAGTATATGATGGAGCACATCCTCAATGTCTTTCAGAATTGATCATTATTTTTAGAATTGCCCGAGAGCCCTGCATATTGCAAATACACAGTACAATATGGTACAGGTATGTTTAGGACTACTTCAGAAATGGTTAGAAACTCTAATCCCAAGATAGATAGAATTTATTTAATCTTTTTTTCATTTATTTTATGTATTTGGACATACACATGGCACAGCACACAGGTGGGGTCAGAGGACAACTTCCAAAGTCATTTCTCTCTTTCCAGTAGGTAGGCCCTGGGGATCAGTTATCAGGCTTGGTGACAAGAGCCTTTGCCCACCAAGCCATCCTAGCCCCTTACTTAACAATTTTTTAAGAAAGTCAAATAAGCAACTCAAGCAGAAATCTTTGTAACATAATATTCTAACATAATATAATCCACAGTATGGATGCTGCTTGCATGTAGATTACTTCTTTTTCATTTCTTAAGTTTTTATTACATTTATTTGTGGATATGGGGCAGAGAGAAGACAGCTGGAATTGCTTCTCTTCTTCCACCATGTGGGTCCTGGAGATATAACTCAGCTTACAGGTTTGGTGGCAAGTATCTTTGCCTGCCATGGTACTTCTAGTTGGGGTCAGGCAGTGAATCTGTGTGCCTGGAGGACTGAGTCAGCTCAATAGACTTGGGAGCCAACTGTCAAATAAAAGCCTCCTTTTAAGTTACCAGGAATCACGATATTATATACTTATAATCAAAAATAGATTTAGAAATAAGTATTCTGTTCCCTAAAATCCTTTATTCCTGTGTGTAATTTTCCCCATTAATTTATTTTTTTAAAAAACTCTGGATGTCATAAAGTAGGCTATTGGAAAACATTGTCTAAATTTTTTGATAACAGTAATTTACCAGCTCCAGAAAATGTATAAGGTTTTTTAAAATCCCCCACAAAATAAGGTGCTCAAGAAACAAAGGAAATGTGTGTGGCAGCTTACAGTCACTATGGTAGAATCAGGAGGCAGAAAAACAGAAGCAAGAGGATCCTAACTTCAAAGCTAGCCTGGCCTACATAGTGAGATACTATCTCAAAGAAACCATGGCTAGATGTGTGGCTTAGTGGTAAAGTGCTCACCTAGCATGTACAATGCCCTGAGTTTGATCCCCAGTATGGATGGATGGATGGATCTTCTATCTGAGGCCAGACCACTTATCCAAACACAACCAGCAGTCTTAAGCAAAGCCCATAATGAAATAGAATACTGCACCGCTCATTTTCCAATAATGATGTAGTACTTACAAGGGATTTCCTGAAAACTACCATTTATCCCACAACCTTCTTGTAAAGTAAGTATTGTTATCCCTATTTGATAGCTAAGAAAGCAAGAATCAAGACACTGCACAGGGCACAATTATCAATTGGTCAAGTCCTTAAGGCAGCCCTGGCAACAAGGCCCTCTGACTTCCTTGCTGTTAGTTCTACATAACTGTTTGGTTGATTCAGTTTTATATTTCTAAGCCTGAGTTCACCCAATGCCAAGTTCCTTGTGGAAACAGTAGAGGTTATAAGTGTTTAAAGATGAGAGAAATAATTGGCGATATTAAGAAAAAAATGGGACACTATCTTAGCACTCAATAGTAGATTGAAGAGCCTTGGGAATTGATTGCACTGTCAGGTGCTAGGCTTAGGTTCAAAGCCTAAGCTTTTCAAATGAATCTTGCAGCTTCCCAGACACTCTTAGAAGACACAGTATGGTGGCTGCAGTCAGGGTCTCTCCAGCTCTTTACTATTTGAAACACTCTGTTTAATCCTCTTGTGCATGTCAATGACTCCCTGGGATGGGATATTAAAGCACACAAACTCCTCTATCAGTGACTGCAGCTTGTTCTTTTTTATTATATCAGAGGGGGGACTAATTAGAAAGAGATCACATAGTGATGTTGGGTTCTGTGGCTTCCAGCCCTCACATGTGTCCTTGCCATGATATTCAGGTTGGAGAAACAATCGGCATTAGTGAAGAGATCATGGGTCTGACCATCTTGGCGGCTGGGACCTCTATCCCTGATCTTATCACCAGTGTCATAGTGGCCAGAAAAGGGCTGGGGGACATGGCTGTGTCCAGCTCTGTTGGAAGCAACATCTTTGACATCACCGTGGGGTGAGTATGGTGTTCTATAAGCATGTGCACCTGCTCCAACTCTGTCTTTGTCTTGCTAGAAGCTGTAGAAACATGAGCTAGCTGAACCCAAAACTCACCCAAGTGCCAACAAAAACTTACTCCTGGGAGCACCATTCCATTTTACCAGATATTTTGTTTGTTTGTTTGTTTTTAGGAACTTAATAAAATGAAGTCATCTCTAAGCCAGCAGAAACTCATAGACAGAATGTTCTAGAAAGTAAGAATTTCTCTTTCATAACTACACTCTCCATGAGTTAGGAATATGCTCTGCCCTGATAGGACTGGAATACTCTGGCAATTTCGTGGTTTTTTTTCTACTCCCTAATTACCATCCTGACCAGATAAGATTGGATTCAAAGGCAGCTTGGGACACATCCAGGCCCAGAAATGACATCCTGTCTCCTTGCTTGAAAAATGTTGGCAACCCAGATTTTGTGAAAGGCAGAAGATGAGATCTTTTCCCCCAGGCTGAGCAAACTGGAGTTCTCAGTACGAATAATCTGTAGTGAACCAGATTTACAGGGACTCTTTTTGTTGTTGTTGTTGTTGTTGATATGTAATTTTACATATCAATCACCCCTTCCCTCTCCCTTCCATCTTCCCATGCCCCCTACCAACCCCCCCAACCCACCTTCCACCCGCTCCTCAAGGACAGTGAGGGTCTAGGCCTTCCTCCGTGTATCTGGGCTGAAATAGTATGACAGGGACGCTTTTATCTCTCCCATTTCATCTAACTTGTCAAAAGTAGAGGACAAATGACCCTAAATGTCAACTCCTGAGAAATTTAAGTCACAGAGTCTCTATGCTCCCAGGATAATAGGTCTCTTGAACCTGGAATTGGGACGTTCACTAAAATGCGTTCACTTTCTCATTGAACATTTTGAATGTTCTGTCTTTTTTCCTTTTGCATTAAGCCATTGTATATATGTTTGCTATTGCTCATAGTGCTTACAGTTAGCAACTTAAGACACACAACAGTCATGTGGATCACGTGTTATCAACTTTGTTCCTGAATATGGAAACTGGAGGGCACAGGGCTAATGCAGTGGTAAACATAGCTGGGGTTAGAGCATGGTTCCTGAGGACAAGTACTAGACCAGAGAGTAAAAACTGACCGAGTTTCCACTCTCTGACTCTGCTGTCAATCACCACAGTGCCCTCTCCTGGGCTATGTGCCTCCACTGTCTAACTGTGCTGTCAGTCACCAAACTGCCCTCTCCTGGGCTGTGTGCCTTCACTGTCTGACTCTGCTGTCAGTCACCACAGTGCCCTCTCCTGGGGCCTTTGCTTGCAGCCCACCGAGGAGCCCACCGAGGAGCAGTCCAGGAAACTGACTTCTCTGTCTGGAGTCTGTTCAAATCCAGGAGCCCCTTTTCTTATAGACTGTCCATATTGTATTATCACTACAATTATTTCTCCCTGCCAGTCTGGGAGCCCTTCAAGCATCCCCTACCAAATTCAACATAGCCTAGCCCATTAGAGAATCATGGTAGTGTCTAATAAGTGCTACTAGAATGGACAGGCTTTTAACAGAAGTTATTCTGGGATAAACCATGCTGCATTACAAATTTACACTCACCTGAGTGGGTAAAGTGGAGGGGTGGGAGTGGAGAATGTCCTATAGTGCAAAAGGAAAAAAGTCTACTATAATTATAAATATTCAGATAGACAGCCATGATTCTAAATCCTGTGTGTCCCCAGCAATGGCTCTTCCCTGTATACGAAGAGTCGTGGCTCTGATCAGGAAACAGTGGGTGCTGTCAGATTTCAAAGATCATTTCAATGCAAGGAAACTGGCAGTAAATTTTATAATAAAGTTTTTAATTCGTTATAAATATAAGACCTCGCTTGTTTGTTGTTTGTTTGAGACAGGGTCTTACTATGTAGTTATAGCTGTTCTAGAACTCACTATATAGACCAGGCTGGCCTCAAAACTCACAAAGATCAGCCTGCCTCTGCCTCCTGAGTGCTGGGATTAAAAGCATACACCACTATGCCCAGCCCAAGACCCTTTTTAATAAATGATTGTCACCACCTTTCCCAGAATAAACTTCAGACTGACATATTGTACCTTGGTCACCACCACCACCCTGCAACCTCTCTGCATTTTAGGTTCTCAGAGGAGTCCTTGCTACTCCATCTCCACTCTGGAGGTCTGATTGTCTTTTCGCCATCCTCACACTCATTCCTATGCCCCCTTTCTGCTGTCCTCTCCTCCCTTCACCCATGCAAATCGTGGTTCATCTTTTCAGGGCTGGGAACACATTGTAATCCCCCCCAGGAAGAAAACAAAAACTAATTCAGATCAAATCCCAAGGTCACCTGTAGCAGTCACATCTTTGATGTATTCCACTAGAAAACAAATGAGTCGGGAAACAAGTCAAGATTCCAAAAGTCTCCCTGACTTCTTTACATAGTTTTCTGAGCCAGGCATTTGTCCTAGTGACCCTAAAGTATCATCCTCCTCAAGCCATAGACTGTCATCTTCTAGTGCCTCCTCATCACACCTGACTGCTCTCTCTCTCCTCCCTCTCCTGCCTGCTTTTCTTCCTCTCAGGCTGCCCTTGCCCTGGCTCCTCTACACCATCATCCACAGATTCAAGCCAGTGACTGTCAGCAGCAATGGCCTCTTCTGTGCTATCGTCCTTCTCTTCATCATGCTGCTGTTTGTCATTCTCTCCATTGCCCTCTGCAAATGGCGAATGAACAAAATACTCGGTTTCATCATGTTTGGCCTCTACTTCGTGTTCCTGGTCGTCAGCGTCCTCCTGGAAGACAGAGTTCTCGAGTGCCCTGTCTCCATCTAGTGGAAAAGCCATATCTTAAACCAACAGCATGATGGTCCCTCCTGGCTATGGGCTCAGGCTCCTTGCAGTCTTGAAAAGAGGCAGCCTGTGCACAGCCTTGGGAGGCAAGCGTCTCTTCTTGGAGGGTTGGAGGAAGGATGGATTCTCATGGGGCCATTCACTTCCCAGGCACCTCACCCCTGCCTGCTGAAATGATTCCATGTAAGAGACAAAGAGAACCGTCTCTCCATCACCACTAACAGGTACTCCTCGCTGGTCGGAGGTACGTTCATTGTGATGACACAAAAGAGGACAGAGGCTATACATGCATATAAATATAAATACTATAAATACATACACATGAGCATACAAATCCTGCCTGTATCTGTACTATACCTCTTCTCCTATACCTATAGATTAATACATAACTGTACACAAACAGAAAGAAAAATTATATATATATAAAAGCATATATATTTAAGTGCAAATGCATCTTTTCAGGGATAGCTCTAGCATATTTATAGTACTTATTTGAAGAGGGGCATCAACCTTCAACCTTCAGTTTGTGCTTTGCCTCTCAAGTGCAAAAGGTGGATTAACAGAATCAGTAGGCAAAGCGCTCTTTGCTGTGGTCTCCAGCCTGCTTAGATATACTGAGTTTAGTGAAATAGTTTGCAGAGAGGAGAGCTCAGTAGAGGAAGTCTGTAGGAGCCCGACTTAGAACCTCTAAAATACTCTCACAAGCCAAATAGAACCCATCTGCTCATGCCCACTGAGATGCTCTGACTGATACCCATGGGATTCCTTAGGACAGAGGTAAAACTCAGACCGGGTAGCAACCAAAGGGGGACTGATGAAGGTTAGGTTGTTTTGTTTTGCTTTTTCTTGTATTGCCCCAGCATGCAAGTAGATGATATGAATGAAAAACCAAATTAGTGCTTTTCTAAGACAACAAAATTATATAAACTGAGCCTAATATTGTTCCAGTGCATGGCCCGTTATCATCAAAATAACAAGGGCAATCTTAGCCATGATTGTCATGTGACATGCTTTCATGCCAAGGGCTCACACACAGTCCAAAGTCCTGCCAAGAGAGCTGAGATGTGTGCTGAGAAACCCCGCCCAGCAGAGGTGCTCAGTGGGAGTTGCCACTGATGGGAACATGAGGGCACAGCTCTTGGAGCATTTCTCAGTGTGGTCACAAAGGGCTGCAGTGTCTAAGAATCATTCCCAGTAGAGCTAAACTAATGACTGACTGTACTTGATTGAGACCGTTCAGGTTTGTTTGCAGAGGCATATGCCTATTTTGTCCCCCCTACCAGAACAGTTTCCAAATCCTGTATATGTCATGATTTTGGTATTGACCCATGCAACATCTGTGTCCCACCCGAATCATAACCCCATCTGGAACTCTAGTGTTCCAGCGAACTGGAGACTGTATTCCATGGTTTCTTTACACTGCTTTGAAGCAGTCACTCACAAATTATGGTTTACTGAGTTTGCTCAGCTTCACATGGGATCATCTCATTCACTGAGTACTCCCAAGCTCATCTGACATCTTGTGTAATTTCTCCAGTTTATTTCAGTAGAAAATGAAATGGGTTGGCAGCTGCAGGACAAATTAAACTTTAAAAAAACATTCAGAGTTTTACGTTTCACTAAACCATGCTTTCTCCTTGAAATCCTTGAAAAGGTGAATGGAAGGTGGCTACATGTAAATTAGAACCCATCATACATGGAGAATGTCACCATGCATTCAAGTTCTGATCTATCATTGTTCCTTGCCTGGCTGTGTTGTGACTAACACTTCACACAGGGAGGCAGGATGCAGAGCTCAAAGCTGAATGAAAGGGCCAGGTAGCCCAATACACCAGATCAAGTTTAGCATTCCATCCACAAAGCCTCCATTCATTTACAGAGCATGGTAACAGCAGGCAGAGCCAAGACCATTTCACTCATAAGCAAAAGATACTTCAAAGTAGAGGCCCTCTGGGGACACAAGAAATTAAAAGGTCTGCCAACTGGCTTTCAAGTATATCCAACAATGCAAAGTTGGATTTTTGGTTTGGTTTGATTTGGTTTGGTTTTTTTCTCTCTGTAAACTCACTCTGTAGACCAGCCTGACTGCAAACTCAAAGAGATCTGCCTGTCTTTGCTTCCTGAATGCTGGCAGTTTTCAATGGTGAGAGAGAAACCCACATCCCATTCACCAAAGGTTAGACTATTTTTAAAGCAAGCATTTATGCTGCTACCTTCGAAAGACAAAGGAAAAGTGGGTTTTCAGTTTTAAAATCTCAGATTGTTTTCCTGGCTGCATGATGATTGATGGGTAAATTCTGATTTCTCGTTGGTTTATTGCTTAAAATGGATAATTGTTTAAAACCAACTACAAATAGACTGTAAAATAAGATCACAGAGTATCTGGTCCCACCATTACTATCCCCACACTTACATGTGTCCTCACCAAGAAGTCAAGAAGCACTCCAGTTGCCTTGGAGCTGGGAATTCTGATTCTTTGGGAGTGTTATGGTCTTTAGTGAAAAGATGCTTTGAGAAGACAACATTCCCAAAACCAGTCCCCACCTCCATAGTGTTCACTGTCACTGAATGGTACTCAGACACCATCTACTGCTGGTTCTTGCTGCCTTCATTGAGTATGTGGATATGTGAGCACGTTGACCTGGAATCATTCACATCATTGTAAAACTGCTTTGTACATGATAGTTTCAGACCATCTCTAATTTCTTTCTTGCATGTTGGTGTATGCAGGTGTACCAGATCTGCAGACATACAATATCAATTATATCGTCACCCTTTTGGCCCAGTCACACTCAGAATTCTAAAGCAAAGGGCACCAAATTTGACAGCCAAGGGAAAGACAAGTTATGCCCACCGACTAAAGTGAATATTTATGAACTAAAGGTTCTTTATTCTATGCACATCCACAAGCATTCAAATGCCACTCAAATATTCTAACCCCTAGAATATAGGAAATGGCCAGCTGTATCCTAATGCTTACAGAGAGGCAAAAATATGCAAAAGAGGGATGGGAGGACATTTTAGACTGTCATCTCTTTGCTTCTCTGGACCAGGGTATAAAATAATACCAAAAGTTAAAGCCAAAATTTACCATCCATCCTAAAATAAAGGAATTATACCCAAATGTGTCTGTTTACTCACAGAAAATCAGCTAGTCTTGCTTGCTGTCACCTCTCCTATAGCCCTAGGCAAGGCTGGAATAGAAGAGAAACTTGGTCCAAACTAAGGATTCTAAAATAGAAACCCCTAGATTTGCATTTAACAATGCCCATGACATATCCACCTGCCCTCTGGACCCAGCCAGTTCCTGATGAGATGAAGCATGAGATTAAATGTGCTATTCAACTTCCCAACTTGCCAGGCAGTGTCAGCATAACAGAATACATGTTCAGAGACTCAGGGACAGGGTTGTTGATGAGCTCGGCAGACGATGCAGAATGTCTGATGTCTAACTTCAGAGTGCTATGAAAGAGGCAAGGACTGTTTCATATTCAAGGAAAATGCTTTACAAGGCCTCTGACGGGTGTCACCTGACAGCGGCCATTAGAATTTATTTCCTAGGGAAGACATGAGTGGGGCGGTTTGGAGGCCTTTTAGCAAAACTGCTGCCTCGCTGATTAGATTCCTGGTACCATTAGTATACATCTGCTCCTGGCCAGAGAGAAATGGCTGCCTGACTCCCTACCACCACCCAATTCCTGCATCTTGTAAATACCTCTCTAACCTAAGGTGAAGGAAAATAGGGCCTATAAAAGGTTGTCCACACCCAGACTGCCTTAACTGAAAACTGATCACAGAAGAGACAACTGTCATGTAATTTGAAGTATTCTGTTGAAATAATAACATTGAAGCATTTCATAGGGTCTGATGCTTGTCTGAATATAAGAATTCCAGAGTGGGTGCGCGCTCTCTCTTTCTTTCTCTCTCTCTCTCTCTCTCTCTCTCTCTCTCTCTCTCTCTCTCTCCCTCCCTCCCTCCCTCCTTCCTTTTACGATTGTGATTTCAGCAAGTAGCATGTTGCAGACAGCAGGCCTGTTCCAGAAAAAGTGTGCTATAGAAGCTGACCCCTAGTTGCACACATATTCACCTGGCCTAATAATCTTTAAAGCTATCATCCTCAATTCCCATGACTCTGTCACAACATTTTCTTCAATTAGCAGGCAAGGCCTTCCCACTAAGACAGAGTTGTGGGGTGGAGATATAAAAATCAAAGGGGGGAAAGGAAAAAATAATTTACATGTAATAGAATTTCTTAAAAAGCAATTGAAATATATATATATATATATATATATATATATATATATATATATCTGTGTGGTTTAAAGTGGTTACAAACAGCAGAAATTTTTAAACAGTTACTAGAGCCTATACATGTCCTAGGTTTATTTGAAAACCACACAGTAAGAAGGCCTCAGGTAAAAGGGTTCCCGTGCCTTGCCCCAGTGTCTGTCTGAGTTTAGTTTCCTGCCTCTGGATCTTTGTGGTCCTTTTTAATCTCACAGCCTCATATTCTTTGAAATACATAACTAACAAGAAAAGCAATAAAGGAAATACAGCCAGCTCAGATTCAATACTTACTATTGCACCTTTGAAGTATTTCTTTCATGTCACTGGGCATTTTGGGTCTACATAGGCTGTGGTGCCTCGGCAACAGGAGGACATGGACTTGTATGAATCACAGATGTGCTCATGTTTACTACATCTGGAAGCGGCTTGCTTTCCATGTAGGCCTCCCAGACAGCACGCATCCACATGCCTTTCTTACACACGGACAATCAACCTTGCTCCAAAATACCTAAATGTCACTCACCAAAGTCTTTAATCTTGCTAATGAGTGTCCTTAAGAAGGAGTGGGAGGGAGGGCCACACAAAGGACAAACACATGCATGACTTAGCCAGTTTTTGAGAGACCAAACCAGTCCTGAAAGTTTAGACAGATGGGTTCAAATTAGTGTACAGCGAGGGACTGAATGGAGAAGCAT